AAATCTAAACTAGCCATTGATCGTGAATTGTATATTGAACAAAGTAACCTCGTGAAAAAGTTAATATTCGAAGCTAAAATGAATTTCTACTCAAATTTAATCTCTGATGCTGGTTCTGATTGTCACGCAATCTTCAAATCTATTGATCATATGCTACATTTAACTCCTGAAAAAAAGCTACCATCTTCTTCTTCGTCGCAAGTTCTCGCTGATACTTTTGTCGATTATTTTAAAGATAAAATTATCAATATTCGTAATGGTTTTCCTACTTCTGAAAATTCTATGTCAACTCTTGTTGTCTCTGAATTGGACTCCAGTACAACTAGGTGTAGATTGGACTCTTTCTCTCCCGTGACTATTGATGAGCTAACTAAACTCTCCAGTAAACTGATGTCAAAGTCCTGTGAGCTTGATCCTCTTCCTGCTAGTCTCCTTCAAGATAAATCTGCTTCTCTTCTGCCTGTTATCTGTAGGATTGTCAACTCATCTCTCATAAATGGTTCTGTCCCTCCTTCTTTAAAAACTGAGATTTTTTTATTTTTTTATTTTATACAGGGTTAGTCTCTTTTCATTGACTAAATATCCACAAATACCAACGTTAAAGTAAAGAATGTACAACTTCAACATTAAAAACACTTTGATATTCCACGGACCTTCACTGAAGTAATTCCATACGAAATCGAGGCTTACCCTGTAGAACAGAGAATTAGTTGAAACTGGTGTAATGCTTTATGACTTGACTACGACTTTTCGGCCTTCTTATCAACAGACTATAATTTTGTCGTCGACAAGTAAGCTTAGTCAGTTTGCTGATGACTTCCAGTTGCCCGAGGAATTGGGTGGAACTTTACCATATGATCATGATGATTGGCTACAGCGAAGAACGGTAAGTCGCCATCTCTGAGTCCAGTGAAATTCGTAATTGATTGGACTCCCAAGTTCATTAACACTTTATGGCAATGAACTAAGGCCTGGTTCATACGTGGCTTTATCGTCGCGCCGAACCTAATAACTGCACTCTTAAAGGCTCGACATTTTCGTTTTCACTATATATGTCTTGGACTTCTTCATGTAATGAAGAGGTGATAGTCTCAGACGAAATGCCGTGCCATGGCAAGACAAAGCCACAAGAAGTTGCTAGTTATTAGGTTCGTCGCGACGATAGCGCGACTTATGAACTGGGCCTTATATTGTGTGTAATGCGACATACATTCAGGGCAAATTCAAAGATCTAATTGGAATTTAGAGTTTTAGATTTTGCGGAGGGAGGAAAAAACCGGAGAACTCGCTTCCTCAGGAACCCAGGGGGAAAATTCTCTCGCTTGTTTCTCGCTTCAAAAAAAGCGAAAAACGAGCGACATAATTTTACCCCTGAGTTCCTGAGGATGGAGAACTCGGAGAAAAGGGAGAAACCTAACAAACTTTACTCAATGTGTTGCTGAGCGGTCTTGGAATCCAACAACGAGAAAGCGGGAAGCAGCAGTAATAGAAGGGACACAGTAATAATTTCAATAATCCTTTTTGTGCTATATTTTAGGCCATCGAAAGTTATATAGAGGAAGCTTCATCCACATTGAATGAAATTAACAATTTTCAACGAAAAATGGAATCAGACGCTTTAGGAGATACAATCTCCGCGACAGAAAGCCTCATCAGCGCACACGAAACGAAGCGCAGAATCTTGAACGCAATTTCGCAGCCAGTAATCAAACGAGGCCGAGATCTCGTACGCAAGATCGAAAGCTACGAGCCTCGGATACCCCAAGGATTGCGTCACTCGGGCGACCCTGTTTCCATGGAAACGGAAGAAAAAAGTCAGCTGAAGGAGATTTTAGAGGAATTGATAAGAAAGGATGATCAAGCGTTTCGTAGCTGGGAGAATAGAATGTCTGATCTTTTACAGTCAAGGGACCTGAAGGATTTCGAGAGTGGATTTCATAAGGTATGAAAATGTGGTTCAGTAAAGATTGCACACTGGGTATAGGCGCGATTACACGGAGCAATTTTCTCTACGACTTGTCTCGCAAGTTGCATGAAGCAGTGCAGCGTGTGACCTACAGCGCATGTTTTAAAAAAATGTTACGAGACAACTTGCAGCAATTGCTTGCGTCTCCGTTGCACCGTGTAAACACTCATACGACTTGTTTCGCAACACTGACAAGACGAGACAAGTTGCAGAAAACATTGCTCCGTATAATCGTGCCTTAATTTCGTACATTTGTTTAGTACAAATCTCGTGTTTCTCTTGAGAATGAAATTCTTTTTCTTCTTCGTTTGAGTTGTATCCACATTCATGTTTCTTGTCATGCGCAACCATTAAAAAAAAAAGAAGAAAAATTAAGGAATGACACGTGGTCTGAAAGCATGGCGCATTACCCTATAGACTTCTTGCAGCACGTGGGCGGGAATGCAGCTCAATTTGCAGCCCGATTATATATTTTATATCTGTTTTACAGGTAGTTGACTGGGTAATGGGAGCAGGCGAATCTTATCTTTCTTCTTCAAATAAGATTGGGGATTCAATCCAAAACTGTGAGTTCAGCAAAAGAGCTCACGAAGATTTCGAATTTGCAGCAAGGGTAATTATTACTGTAACTATATTTTTATTGTTAGAGAGATAATAAGCAAAGGGCAACTTGTGACTATGATTCGACTGAATGGTTTTTGTGAATTACTCATGTGCATTAAGATAAGAACTTGAAGGTGACTAGGACACAGGACGCTCGTAAATTTGTACTCGTCTCTTCTTTTTCCTTTTTAAGAAGTGTTATATAAGTCAGCTAACTATTCTTGGCAGTCAGCTTTACACGAGAAGCAGTAGCAGTAGCAGTAGCAGTAGCAGTAGCAGTAGCAGTAGCAGTAGCAGTAGCAGT